AACCTCCAGATCAAGCTATAATCACCTTCAAACCTAGCAGAAGGCATCAATGTGGTGGTGAAAATTGGTTCTCAAACTGACATCCACTTCTGGAGTCCCTTTGCCCATGCAAATCCCCCAAGATATCCTTAAAATGGTAGGTCTGGATTACTGGTAGGTATGGGCCTATGTACCAGCTCTAGACAGGAATGCACAGTGCTACAAGAACTGCTGGACTGGGTAAGTGCGAAAGATGGGGACTTGGTACGTAAGTGTCCCCTGTATGGCTAAGAGGACCTAATGTTCTCCTTTAACAGAGGATAGGAGGGCACTCTGAAACTCAGTTTCCTTCAAAACCAGCTTTACACAGTCTACTGGGCTACAAAAGCTGCCCATGAGAAGCAGCAGTTAGAGATGGGGCAGCTCTCTTTCTAAGTTAGTAAAGGCACAATGTAAGCACTAGAAGCAGAGTCCACAGCTAGAAAACAAAGCTTGCAAACAACAGCTATACCAACTAGCAGACAACCTTCACACAGATACAGTGTGCAAGAACCACCTTTCCCCACCTCCCCACCCCCTGATGCCATCTAACATGAGTAGCAATCCACACTTCGTTTATGCAAAGGTCAAATTACTGGCTTTGCCAGTGGATATACCTTAGCTCACTGCAAGAGCAGGAGGGACTGTTCTGTTCTATTCAGGCACTGGTTCTTGTTAAGCTTCTTTCTTTCCAGAAAATATTCTCCACAGCACAGTCATTTAAGGCATATGGGCCTGCCCTTAATTGGGCATTTAGAAGAGCTACACTTCAGGCAATTGTAATAGAGCACAATTTTGAGCTCTCTGCAGCACAGTTTATCAGAAGACAGTTGAGAGAAAAACAATCTTCAGGCAGGATTGCCTGGGGGTCATAGTGTCCATTCATACGCCCGGATCCGTATGGGGTGGGGCTCGTGGCTTCAGACATTCAGCTCCATTCTAATCTCTGCAGAATTGCTTGTGCTGGATTGCATTATGTCTTCAGTGTATATGGAGGGTCACTGTAAGAAACAGCCCTTGGATGCCTCTTTTGTGTCTATTGTAAGAATTTGTTGAAATATCTGCTGTATCACCTAGTTTCTCTGTTTATAAAGACTCTTGGACATTGCAATGAAGACCAGGAATAACTGTAATCTCCTGAGCAGTCATTTTATCTAATGGACATTGTGAACTGTGACGCTGACAAAGTTTCCTAATTTTATGTTACCAGAAAATTTAGAGCCCAAATGCTATCCTAGCATATTTTAGCAACTCTCAAAAGCCACCTGAAATCTTTTCTGAAACAAGGTGAGAGGTGGGGGTGAGTCAGTAAATTTCTAGGTAATTAGTGTGTTTTATTTCAATGATCTCTATTTCTTCCCCTGCCAAAGTCACCTTTAATAGCTGAGGAGAGACAAGTAAATTTGTCTTCTAATATGGAGAAAACAAAGTTGCTTTCCTTTCTACCTCCTAACAAGTCACTCTGGAATTTACGGGGCTCTCAATATGCTACTTATCAGAACCTTTTTCTTAGGAAACAGGTTATTTTGTTCTAGGTGACAACAAAGATAAGATCAGTAAGGCATGGCTGTTACTAAATCAATTCACCAATTTTCTTCAATTCAGGATTCCAGCTGCACACTCCATTCACAAATCTGTAGTTATGAACATTTAGTCTTTTGTTGGCAGTAGAGATTTAAAAAATAGGTGAGAGGAACCACATTTAAACTAGCAACCCAGGTTTCTTAACAGTGGACTCCTCTTAGCCAATACTTGGACCCCAGTGAGCTCAGTGCTCTGAGCCTGCTTGCTGTCTGAGATAGGCCAGCAAGTCAGTGAGACTAAACTGCCTTCAGATAGAAACAATTTTCCAAGTTACCTTTCAGAGATGCTTGAGGAGAAAACGATGCACCAATGGAGACAGAAGCAGAGAAAAATATACATTTCAGGAGCCCCAAACCAACAGTGGGTGTGCACTGGTAGCCCCCAAAGCCCCAGGATCTGCACTCTAACACCCTTTTGAAAATAATATGAATCGTCCAGCTAGTTCCATGAATGTAACAGTGGCTTCAGCTGAGTGACAGCTGTGCTGAATTTAAAGCAGGTTTCCTCCAAGTGTGGAATTTCTCAAGGGCAAGGTAGTTGGACAGGAAAGGATCTTATTTTTTACCTCCCATGGCCTTGCTCCAACAATTGTATTTCTGTTTCAAACTCAGCCATTTTTAAAACCTCAACATCATGCACTTTTATTTAAAAAAATGCTTATGTTTAATTAAATAAAATAATTAAAATAATTATTTTACTTATTTTATTACAATAAGTAGGCTCATATTCATCAGCTCAAGGGAACCTAGAGCTTCTCAAAAATCCAATGCCCAGGACAGGCACAGTGGTTCATCCCCGTAATCCCACATTTTGGGAGGCTGAGGTGGATGAATCATGAGGTCAGGAGTTTGAGACCAGCCTGACCAACATGGTGAAATCCTGTCTCTACTAAAAATACAAAAATTAGCTGGGCGTGCCTATAATCCCAGCTACTTAGGAGGCTGAGGCAGGAGAATTGCTTGAACCCAGGATGCTGAGGTTGCAGTGAACCAAGATTGTGACACTGCATTCCAGCCTGGGTGACAGAGCGAGACTGTCTAAAAAAAAAAAAAAAAAAATCAAAAGTCTGGAAATTACATAGCTTGCTTGCTGCTTGGATACACATAACTGTCCAAGTCAGATTCATTAGCTTCATCACAAGAGCTTTACTTATTTCTCTTATCTGCATCCAAAAGCCTGAGTGAGCAGCATCAATCTATTCCAAGTGTGGAGCACACTGGGTGTGTTTTTCGGTCAGGGGTGGGGCAACAAATGAGACAGGCTGTCAGTGTGATTCAAAATTGGGTGTTGTGGACCCTCTGGAGCTGTGTGTTTTCAAATCTGTTTCAATTTTTTTCTTAGATAACAAAATGCAGAGCTTTCAGGCTGATCATTTTGGAGTCTATTTGGATCCTTTGTGGAACTGGGAAGTAAATCGTCAGCTTATACACAAGGTGGCACCCTGTGATTCCAACCAGGTCTGAGAGGAGCGATGCTGCTAAGAGACTGAGCCACAGCCACAAATTTTTATTTACCATCTGCTACCCCCACTGTGGCAAATGTAGAAGTAGAAGTAGATGTTTGGCAGGTCACCTCTCAGTGTAGTCTCTGTCCTTACATCTCAAAGATGCAGAGCTGCCTCAGAAAAGGGCACTGGAACCACGGAACTGATTCCAGTTGATTGTAATGAATGCAGACCCCACATTCAGATTACATATGGAAAACAACGAAGCTTTATTAGTACTAGGCTCATTCCTGGGAACATAAGGGGGAGGGGTGGCGATGCAGTTCACATACCAACCCAATTAACTTTCAATTGGGTTTGCTGAAACCAGGAGCCAATTAGAAAGAACGTGACATTTACAAAACTCTGAAATAGTTGAATAGCAACTGTGTTTACTAGTTTTAAGATTCCTTTCAAAAAGTAATTTGTCCATTATTTGGAAGCTGCCTGCCTTGATTATAGTACTGGGAAATGGAAACTGGAATGTAATTCCACTTCTAACAGTTACTTGACATTTATTCCAATTTAGACTACATATAGATAGTGATTTTATTTTGATATGGCTTAAAACTGCTTTTAATTCTTCAGTGCTTTTATATTATGCTCGCTGGGCTAAATGCATGTCATTTGGAATTGGTGCAGAGCATATTTAAGTGGACTGATTTTCGAATGACTGTACTCAGCGCATTGTATGTGAAAATTAAAATTGGTGATTAGGCTGCACATCCATTTGAAGCAGGTCTTGATAAAAGTATTTCATAATTTTTTATTTTATAAGAAGATATTTTGTTTTTAGCATTAACGATTATATGAGTATTCAACAAATCAATCAGAAATAAACTTTATGAAAGGTAATACTTACATACAAATAAAAGTTACCTTCCAAATGTGAACAGAGGCATTCTGGTATGAGCACTAAATTGGAAGCCAAGAAAACACAGGCTGTATCTCAGTTGAAAAGTATATTGTGTTATTTGCCTCAAACAGTTTTATTCCCAGCTCTATAATCACTGCCTACAGGGTGAAGGAAATGGAGATTTGGGGAAGAAATCTTTTACATGGTCAAAGTAAAAGAACAACAAAGAAACAACTACTAGAGCAAAAATCCCTTCCTATAGTTAAATTCCAGGTTTCAAAAGGTGTTTTTTAATTGCTCTAATTGGTTCTAAAATCTCTATACTCAAAGGCAGGAAGCTGGAAACCGGGTAGACCACAGTAACAGCAAATATTGGCAGCAATAGCTAGGTCAGGTGACAGGCCAGTAAGGTATGTAAACTATAAGCTAGAGTGGCATGGGGTCAGTATCAGCGAATTTCTTCATGGAACATCAGTCAACAAATATACCTTAGATGCCTGCCATACGTCAGGAAAGGAACTGGGGATACAAGGATTGACAGATGGATATTGTGCCTGCCCTCCTTGAGTCTACTGCAACTTTCGGCTCTGGGTGATGCACTCTCTTGGCCGTTGGTTGGAAGGTCTTAGTCATCAACTTTGGATTACCAGCTTTAAAATGCTGACTGGTCAATAAGCTGAAAAGCTTGGATAGCAGGGTAGCATCACTGAGTTTTGGAGTCAGGTCAGACCTTAATTTGAGCTCAGTTCTGTGAGCTGTTAGAATTGAAATTTGGCAAATTATGTGACACTCAGATTTCTTATTGGTAAAATTATATTTTTTCATAGAGTTATAATAAGAAGTGGAATTCAGTTAGTTGAGATAGTATCTATAACATGCTGCTACGATGGCTGGCTTATTATACATACTCAACATTTCGTTTTCTGAGAGAGAGTAACAGTCAAACTAAACAGAGACTACAAGAAAGCTATCCTTCCTGAACCTGAGGAGGGCTGGGCACCCAGATGAAAGCTCTGGATGACTCATTTCTTCAACTATTTCTTTTTTCTTCCCTTTCAGGCTTGAACCCGGTGCTGACCCCCTCCCAAGAACTTCTTGTTTTCCTCGCAGAGAACTGGAACTGTTCCAGAGGTAGCACTTAGAGCAGGACATGCCCATAAGCTTAAGGAAGGTACTGCTTACAAGAAATGAGTCACAGCATCGCCATTGTTTCCAACAACAAAGTATATGAAAAACACTCAAGCTCCACTAAACAATACTCCAAGTTTTGCTGGGACAGAATGGTTAGACTATTTGGACACTACCATGAAGACTGTGTCCACCATTCTGCCTTCGAAAGGAGGAGGCTGTAGAGAGAAAAGGGGAAGAGGAAGAGGAGGAAAAAAGAGGAGAGGAGGAAGTGGAGGAGGGAAAAAGGACTTAATAGAGGAAGAGGTACAGTTTTGATGTCACAGAAATGACAGGAGGAATCAATTTTTTTCACTGTTGGTCTTTAGGAAACCATCTGCCTTTCTCTGCGTTAGGCAGAGAATTGATCGATTATTAGAAAATGGTAAAATGTGTTAAAAACTCTATCTGTACGGATTTTGTGAAAAATGTGTAATGCTTAAAGACTAACCAAGAGACTCTTGGCTAAACCAGGTGATGTCAACAAGAATTAGTACTTATTTGAGTCACCTTGATTTTTCCTCCTCCTGAGAACTTTCTCTAATCCGTTTAGGCTGCAGTCATGCCTCCTTTCTCTGAACTCACAATTATTGCCTATATCTCGTTTGGTAATTAATCATGTCCTACTCACTGCCTGTGTCATCTCTTGTATTATTTTCTTCAAATATTTACACTTTTTTTTTTTCGGTTGCCATTTATCTTTCCAGCTGCCATTTTCTTCAGCTATTTACGTCTCTTACTGTTATTCATCTTTCCAACCATCCTGGCATCCCATTAATGTGAACGCTGTCTGAGACAGGAACCTTTTCTCAGACGTCTACAGCACCCCACATTTGATACACATCTGCTACTTTGCAAATGTGTGCTGCCTTTGGTTAAATTTTTAGAAGCTGAACTTTTAGGTACGCTCCTATTTGTGAACTCAGAGAAATACCTATCATCCACTAAACAGCTGTACCGAAGTTTGGGTGACAGGTTCAAGTTCACTTGTTGCATCTGGCAGCCTCAGACCATGAACCCCACTGCTGCCTTGAGCATCCACCCCGCGAACGCAAGGACGAGCGCGCTACCGCACCTTGGAGAGCTCTTTCGGACAGGTACTGAGGGGAGGGCGGGGGAGAGGGCTGGCATCAGCCGCGCGGCGCCCCTCCGAGCGGACTGACGGGAGGGACCGGGGAAGTGCGTCTCGGAGGATGCGAATAATTAGCTTGCGCTCGGGGCCCCTTGGGGATAAGCGCTGTCCGAGTACAGGCTTGGGTGGTGGCTAGTGGGGTTCGGGTCGACACCTTCCCTTTCCGCTCCCGGACTTCAGCACACGCGCGCTGCCCGACGCGGCTGTCTTTGCCCGGCGCCCTCCTCCGGGACAGCCAGCGAGAGGGGAGACCGGGCGGCGCAGGCAGAGGCGCACGCTACGGGGCGCGGGCGAACTTGCGCACCTGGCACCTGCCACACAGCGAGAGCACCGGCCGGCGAGCGGAGGGGCGCCGTCGCCGCCCTCTCTCCCCGGAGCAGACCGAGACCGAGCACGCTCCCGCGGGCCGGCAGCGCCGCGGAGAGAGTGGGTGGGCAGGCGAGGGAGGGGAAGGGAGAGGAAGGAGGGAGGGAGGGAGGGAGAGGGCGAAGCGCGTTCCCGCGGCGGGGGCGCGCTCTCGCGCGGGCTGCCGGGATCGCTCGCCGCCGCTGTGGTAATGTCCGCCATGTTGGCCATGGCGCAGGGAGCGGATCGGGCGGGCGAGCGGCGGATCTAGTGTGTGGAAACGGCCGCGGGCGGCGGGGGGCTGTTTTCGGGCGGGGTGGGCGCCCATGCTGTGGCCGGGGGCAGTGAGGAGGAGGAGGAGCGGGCCGGCCGCGCTGCACTGAGGAAGGAGGTGGAGGAGGCGGCGGGAGTCCTCCCCCCCTCCCCGCCCGCCCCGCCGCCGCCGCCCGGGCTGTTCCTGTAAGGCGGGGAGACAATGAGTAAACTCTCCTTCCGAGCGCGGGCGCTGGACGCCGCCAAACCGCTGCCTATCTACCGCGGCAAGGACATGCCTGATCTCAACGACTGCGTCTCCATCAACCGGGCCGTGCCCCAGATGCCCACCGGGATGGAGAAGGAGGAGGAATCGGTAGGGACTCGAGTGTTTATTACCCCCCCTTCCCTCCTCCCCCCTCCCCTTTGTCAGTCGGGCCTCGCCATTCACAGAGCGCTTTACGCTCGCTGGAGGGCGCCGCTGCCGCTCTAACGCATGGGACTCTACGCCGGCGGAGTAGCGTAAACCCTCTCGGCCAGCGTAGCGCCCGCCCGCGGCCGCCATGTTGTTGCGTCCCAGTGTTGTGATTAGCTCGCAGCGCTGCTTACGCTGCCGTAAGGGGGCCTTGCCGTAAGCGGCGGCCGGGAATGGCGCAGGGGGATGCGCTGGCCGCACTTGGCGTACGGTCTCTGTTTACCTTCCCACCTTCCTTCCCCCAGGCGCGGGGTTAATTAATGGCGGGGTATTATTTGGCTGGGCAAGATTATTATTTTTTCCACTTTTAAATTTGGCTTTGTATTGGATTCTCTTTGAAATGATTGTGGAAAGTAAGGCGCTTTGAAAACAAACGTCTGCCTCCCAGCAATGTAATCATCTTGGCTACCCCGCCAGCGACGGTGCAGCGGGATGAGCCGGTGTAGCACTGCGGCGGGGGAGGGCGGGGGCCACGACTACGGAGCGGGGCGTAGTATCCGAGAGCCGCCCGCCGGCCCGTTCAGCCCAGCCGGGCGCGGGGCGGACGGGCTCTGCCTGCTCCGCCGGGACCGCCGTGCTCAGTGCGCAGCGTTAGAAAGGAGCGGAGGATGCTCCGGAGCTGGCAGCCGGCGCAACGTTGTCTTCGAGAATTGTCATTACGGGGTGGTCCTTAGAAGTTGAGGACCTAGTGCGTCTAAATTGGCAGTTGTAATTTTGATAATACGGCACCTTTTGAGAAAACTGCTGCTTTTCCTCCGATGGGTTAGATTTTACATACGGTCGAATTTCATCTGTATTGACAAGAGTGTTTATGACTCGAGCGGTGTTACTTGTGTGCGAAGTTCATAGTAACTGCACCCTCAAGAATTTCTTCAATGAACCTACAGTCCCGCCTTATTGTCAACCTCGAGTGTGTGTGGATTGGTTCTCTAGCTTCTGTGACTGTCAAAAGGAAGCTCTAGGTTTCCGTGATTGGTTTTCTCTTTTGACTATTAATATTGCAGGAAATGCTTTTATGCCTTTGATTGGCTGGTAGTGTTCTGACCTCATTATGTTACCCTGTTATTACTACTTTATGCTCTTATTTAACACATTTCTCTTTGGTGTGTGATTACTTGAAAGTCTTACATTTTCTGTAGCAAATGAATATGGCTGTAGCATCAGGATGAACTTAACTGTATGTATACACATACATATATAACATATATGCATACGTGTGTGTGTGTGTATTTATATATTATATATAATATATAATCAAAACCCAGCATTTATTCCTAAGGTTTGGAGCTGTGAGAATTTTTTTCTATGTGAGAACTCCTTTTATAAATAAAATTTGTTTCTAACGTGACTGAGTTTTCCATGGAAAGGAAAGTTAAGGTAAAATTATATTATGTACAAGAATTAATTCATCGAACTCTTAAGAAGCACAACTTTGGAAATTTTTGCTATTTTGTGGGTCTTGACCCAAAAGAAAGATGGCCTTAAAAGTACCAGTATTGTGTGTAATTACTTGGATCCTATTATTTTAGAACTTGAGTCAAGAAATCTTCCAGAATGAAGTTAACTCCTGGAAGATATATTACTTTTTGCAATCAGCAACATACATGGTCCTTAGTATTTTATCTTAATTTAATAAGATAACTTACAGAGTAATTTTTTCATGCTTTATTAAAAATAAAAGTGCTTGTGTTGCAGCTTTTTGTTTGTTTTTTGAGATACATGGTCCTTAGTATTTTAACTTAATTTAGTAAGATAACTTACAGAGTTATTTTTTCATGCTTTATTAAAATTAAAGTGCTTAACTCGTGTTGCAATTTTTTTGTTTGTTTTTTGAGATGGAGTTTCGCTCTTGTGGTCCAGGCTGGACTGTAATGGCGTGATATTGGCTCACTGCAACCTCCGCCTCCTGGATTCTAGCAATTCTCCTGTCCTGCCTCAGCCTCACGAGTAGCTGGGATTGCAGGCGCCCACCACCTCGCCCATCTGATTTTTGCATTTTTAGTAGAATCAGGGTTTCATCATATTGGCCAGGCTGGTCTCAAACTCCTGACCTCAGGTGATCCACCTGCTTTGGCCTCCAAAGTGCTGGGATTACAGGTGTGAGCCACTGCGTGTGGCCACGCTTTGCAATTTTATACTGACTCCTTTAGAAAAAATTATTTTCAAACCAGAGCATGAGTGCTAAACTTGGATACTTTTCAGTAGCCTACCTCAATTGCCCAATTTTAAGGAAAAAAATCCAAATTCTACCAGAACTAGAGTTGAAACCCAGAACTTCTGATTCTTTGTCTTGTCCTTTCTGCCTCTTTAATAAATGCTAAAAGTGGAGATTCTTAAAATCAAAACTAAACAAACCTTAACAGTTAAGATTTATATTCTGAAGTCTTTTGCTTCCCAGAGTGTCCAATTGGGGTGTTAGTTTTTCTCTCTCTTTTCTTTTTTTTCATTCTTTCTTTCATATATATGTCAGAAGACTTGTGCTTTCATGAGTGACAGCAGATTCATTTCTCTGGTCTTATTTACAGGACTTCTGTTATTAAACAGAATTATGTGTTTATAAAAATGGTTCTGCTTTGATAAATATTTCTAAGCAGTAAAATGTCATACATTTCACAAATGTTTTGTTTCACTTGAATCGTATTTTTAAGTAACTTAAAATATCTAGATGTCCTTAACTCCTTATCTTTGTAAGATTTTTTCTTTCAAGTCAGTAGGCTTGTAACCAACACATCTTGGCTTATGGATTCATAATTGTTGCTGGGGGTCTCTGAACTGTACTGTCCTGCTTAATTGGCTAAATCTTTTGACTTCATTTTGAAGTCTTCACGGATGGCTTTTCCCCACTCTCCCTCTACTCCCACCCACCCTTAAAATTAAGTCCTATCTCCTCTGTGTAGCTATTGGACTATCATTAGACTTTGTTTATATAAACAAAGTCATTGATTCAATTTTGAGTTACATTCTGACTGAGTTACATTCTGACAATGCCTGGATGAGGTGATTCAG